TTGCCGTAAAAGGTGACTATGCTTGTCGTAAAAGGCGACTAACGGGATCGGGTGGTCAGGCTCGCTGACTTGGTTGATGCATATCATCGATCTCAATTGCGTGGATCGATGCTCATGATATCAATCACTGGATTGTCTGGTCCAGACTCGATTATTTACAGACCGCCGTCATAAAGCTGGAATATTGCTGAGTGCGGCGTTAAACAACAAACCAACCAACCAACCAGTGACTGCTGGGTGAACACAGGCATATTTCCAACAAAGTCAATTGCCTAAGGAGACACCTCATGTAATGTGTACTTCAGTGTAGGTCGTGGCCGAAGCCCTAGAAATTCTCAGGAGTCACGCTTGTAGGTCACGATCACCAATCCATCCACTCCTGGGACTAGAGGATGGAGCGTCTGCCCGGAGAGCGGAAGGTCGCGTGTTCGATTCCCGGCTGTGTCACACCAAACTACTTTACAAGATGGTACTTGTTGTTACTCTTACTGTCATTCGACATTTAGGGGATAAACAAATGTGCATGCACGTCACTATATAGGTGAAATAATCTTGAACATGACGTTAAACCCCATTTCACCTCACCTAACTTTGCCTGATGTGTGGCCTTTGCGTTGAACAAAGGACCATGTGCCACCATTCTATTATGATTAAATATTAAATACCCTAGAATCATTGGTCACCATTCTTCGTTTTTAACATTACCCGAAAGACACGCCCTTAAAAACTGAGATCTAAAGAGATTACAACGAGCAAGAGAAATTCTGTGCTATGTTAGTGACAACACAAGATGGAGATAACGATTTAAATGAATCTTAGGTGGTGAATGGGTCCATGACATGTACCCAACAGAACAGATATATAATACACTGGAATATCGATGTTCATCATTCGGTTGCGGTATAATGAAAAATATCTCTTTTGAAAAAGCCACCACAACTGCGTCAATGCTAAAACAATGAATCATCAATCTAAATATATAGAGGGTAACTCAATTACAATTCTTTGGAAGCAGGGATGGCGTGTCTGGCATTGTCAGACTCTGGCTTCATCAAACGATCGTTGATCGGACACGCACCGTAAACCTGATTTAACCAGATAATCTCTAGTGTTTTCAATATCGGTCGAATATGTGTAACGTTAAAAAATATATCAACGATTATTTTCATTTTGAAAATGTCACTGTTATTGCAATGGGGAAATCCGATGTAAAAGAAGTCTCAGAAAAGTGGCTTTGGTTTAGCAAAGGGACATGGTGCTGACACCATCCGTGATAAGGATCGGATCCTAGAAGCTTAAGGACACAACTATTCACAAAACATTTCAGTATTTTCGTGACAATTATACCTCCCTATAGTTAAATGCAAAAATAAACGTAGTTTTAAAGGTTCACAAATATGAAATAACTCGGACATATTTAATAAGTAGTGTCGTATTTCGAGACCGTTTCACATTTCTGTCGTCGATAAATGTGTTAAACAAAGCATTGATAAAAGGCACTCCAGGACTTGGTGTATCGACTTGACTACTTCATAACGGAAGCATGTTTTATAAACAAACAAAAAGTCCAATCACATATTCGAACTGATGCTTTATGTGTTAATGGCGTTTTAATGTCAGTATCGCCCAAACCTGGCTTTCAAAGGAGATATATCTTGAGTGGGATCGAACGATATCTCTCCAAGAAGGGTACGCTGAAATGAACATGCATCACAATGCTTTGCAGACCATTGGTTGACAGGGGTTACCATGACCTCAATTGACATCACTGATCTCTCTGCCATAGAATCTGGTTAATGTACTATTTACACTCAAGACACTGGTTATTACTATTTACAATCAGAAACAGTTGGAAGAATGATTTTTGATAAAAAATAAAATCTCAGCCGTGTATCTTCCAAGCTCAAATATATTTAGAATCGTTGTAAAAAGTTCAAATGTTTAGCGAGCCTGGGATATTTCTAACTTTTATCAACTCCCCCGTCTTGATACCTCGAAAGACGCTAGGTTGAGATTCTCGTTATAGTTGTGGAGCTTTTACGGCATTAAATTTTGGGCAGTTCAAAGGACCGCAATTGACTTAATTGAATGTAAAACCAAATGTTATGAACTGGACTGTTTGCATATTTGATTAAAAATAATTGACTTTCACTTTGTGTGAGTTCATTGGAGTATGAACGTTCATAGTGTGAGGGCGTGAAGGGCGTGAACGTCGGAGATCTGTAACATCACCTTTTTACCTTAAAGGGTGTAGCGCCAGATCTATACAAATTTTCTTGTCTACAACAAGCAGCTGTATGCCGGAATAAAAAAGTTCCTCAAAACGAGAGGTGACATGCGCATATATACGCCCAAATCGCTTTACAGGAACATTTATTGTATTTTGTTTAAAACAAACGTATTCAAGTCATTGGATGAGGTCTGTTAAGAACTGCCTCAATAAGTCAATCACAATAGCAGCGCGTCGTAATACATTTACATCATGTATCAGACGTCAAAATGGCCGACACGATAAACGTGACGGGAGTGATTTATGCTGTTGTTCATGAACCTGTGGCGGTTACATGTGTTAGTCACCATTGATCAATTGGCCAGTCACTGAAAGGAGGTTATGACGATGTGTCAAATAGATACAAAGGTCAATCCAGAGATTGCTGCTGACTGTCGTTGTCAGTCTAGACACGGATCGAGTCGATACTAAGATAGTTTTGCTGTGCATTTCTTCGTTTTGTTTACTTGAATGGGTGGTAGCGAGGGTATTCATGAACGACCATGCAATCAAACTCTCTGAAGTTTCCCAATCTATGCTAAAACGCAGTGTTCAAGATTAAGGGGTCTAAATGATCAGAAACAACGCTTTTGTATGGCCTCGTGCTAGGGAATTCCCAGGGGTTTCCCCAAGAAATATGTAAGTAGACAGTCAGTGTTCACGTTATTTCAAGAATACAGTCTCGTTAAAAACGTATGAACTTCACATTGTGTCGTTCATACACTTATGAACTTCAGTTTCGCGGTCATGTGACCGACCCCTCGTCCAATGGAAAGTCGTATATCGTGTAAACGTTACATTTAAGACATATATAAGATCCTGGAAAGGACGCAAACACATTTGGCTAGCCAAAGACAGATCAGAGAAACCATTGGAAACAACAAGAAAATATGAGGAATAGGCTATAATGGAATATTGTTCGCTTTTGTTCCAACACACCTGGATATTATCTATTAGTTTTGTATTTTTGTTTGTGTGTGTGTGATAGTTACGACATGCTCCTTTCGTATAAACATGAAGAAAGAATAACAACGCGAATTCGAACATGTGTGAACATTTTGTTTCTCCAAATGGCATTTTCTAGAGACAGGATATGTTTTGGGTCCTGCTTCACGATATAGACATTGTCTCTGAATAGGAAAACACCATATTTTAAATGTTTTTCTTACAACATATGTGTTCAGGACATCGAGCATGTCAAGCGAACAAGTTTGTTTGTTTGTTATTAAAGCATGAGACATCATGTTTATCCGTTAGTTTATGTACTGTAGTTTTGTTGAAAAACTGTTCAGTCCCCCAGGAACAATGGCACGTTCTTTTCATATTTGAGATTGAGAAATAAAACATACTTGATACACAGGAAACTGTCCAGCGGGTGAGGTGAAATTGGATATAACATCGCGTTCAATATCATGCACTTATATAGCGACCTGCATGCACGTGTGTGTGGCTGCTTTTTAAGTCCGTACTGATGCTGATTTTATAGTGGTAGCCCACTGAGATACCATGTCGCAGTTTAACATGAATACCCTACTCAGACACAGTATACCGACTCCGAGTAGTTGTTTAGCCCCTTTATGCCGAGCACCAGGCAGGGTAACAACAAGTACCATCTTTTAACGTCTTTTGTATGACGCGGCCGGGGATCGAACCCCGGGAAGACGCTCTACAACTAGTCCACGGAGGCGGTCGAAAGGGTCAGAATATTTCCGGGATCCATTTCAATCAAAAACGTTTTTTAAACCAATCGGATTTCAGCACACACTCCCAGTAATTTCACAATGTAAAATATTACAATTACAAACGAAGCTATGTACATGTACATTATTTTATTAATCCAGCATATTTAACCTGTCTCTCTCAAAGCAAATTTCCGCCAAAGGAAACTTACGAAACCGCGAAATGCTAACAATTGTATCACATATATATGAATATTTATTTATAAAATATTTGTTTGTCTGCTCACTTTTATTGCAGCTAATGTGCAGTATAGGTTTCCCTGCATACCATGTCCATGTTTGTGTTGCAGACATCGCTGTTTGTTTGTTTGTTTGTTGGTTAATGCCGCACTCAGCAATATTCCAGCTATATGACGGTGGTCTGTAAATAAGCGAGTCTGGACCAAACAATTCAGTGATTGATATCATGAGCATCGATCCACGCAAATGGGATACGATGACATGCCTCAACCCAGTCAACGAGCCTGACCACCCGATCCCGTTAGTCGCCTTTTACGGCAAGCATGGGCTGCTGAAGGCCTATTCTACCCCGCATCTTCACTGGTCATTTCGATCCTATACGTTGTCTCTGAATAGGAACACAATTTTTTAAATGTTTTTTTCCACAACACATCGAGCATGTTCAGCGAACAAGTTTTGTTTGTTGGTAAAGCACGAGGCAAAGTCATATTTATCCGTTTTGTATCCGAGTAGATTTATCTATTATCAATCTTAAATTAGGATGTGCATCCCAAGATAAAAACTGCTGGACACTTACCACGATTCACGCCTACATTATAACGCACGATTACTTAGTGAGTCCGGCAAATGTCATCTTCACATATTAAGTTTCTCTGAGATGCAGAAATCATATCACTTTAACTAGTATTTTACATACATAAGTGTGACCTCTTTAATTAAGGAATAGTGTTGCTGACATATTGTTATAATCAATGTTACGAGCTCGATTTCATCAATAAAACAAATTTTCTGAATAAAATGGAAAGGCTTACCTGCAGTACGTCTGTTGTGTCGTTATCAAATACGTTCCACACATACTATCACACCTCTACTGAAATGTTTTCGATCTCCGCCGGAGTCAGTTCCTGAAGCTAACGTCCCATGCAGTGACAAATATGAAAGCTCCCGACCTCAAGTCTAAAGCAACTCGTGTTCTCAGTTCACTGGATGTTACCTCGCAGGAGCCAGTAGCCAATCGCAGTGGTCGTTACAACGTGCGTTGACCACCGTCGATCGAAGCAATTAGTTCCGACGCTATTTGATAGCGACCGTTCTAGTTGTGACGGGTTGCCGTACTCAAAATCCCTTTTAACACTGAAACGAACAACGATAGAATTCTGTTGAAGCCTTTCGACAGCTGCAAGCTGTACATATATATTTATAAACTCCAATAAATCGGTTAGATGTTAGACAACTTTGGTACGGGCGATGTATTTGCATGCAACGTATTGGTGGGAAAATAAGACAGCAAGGGCTGATATCGATTGTTTTCGACCTGGTTAAGATGATCGCTGAAATGATGAAATTAGCATTGGTATAACGGTGGGCTCTTATGTATTTGTGTTCTAAGTCATACCAAGCTCAATACAGGCACGGGAGTAGGCGTGAGAGTATGACATGGGTTCAAACATCCATGGCTCCAGGAATGTACTGACACTACACGTTGTCAAATGTATGTTATGCCCTGAAGATCCGGGTTCAAATTGGTCTCCAGCAACCCATGCTTGTCGTTTGCGGCGAATTACTGGATCGGTTGGTCAGGTTCGCTGACTTGGTTGATGCATATCATATTTCCCAAGTGCGTAGATAGATGCTTAATATGATATCAATCACTGGACCGCCGTCATAAAGCTGAACATGTATGTTGGTAGGAGACAAAAAAACATAAATATGACATTAACTTTCTATGAAAAAAAATGGTGTATAGAATAAAGGAAATATAGAATACGAATAACAATAAACGAATCATTAACATAAATATAAACAGCGGTACTACTAACCCTGACAGCAGAGACAGTGGTACGAAGTACAGAGACAGAAGGTCTTGATACAAAGACAGTGGTACTAAGTATAGAGACAGTAGGTCTTGACACAAAGACAGTGGTACTAAGTATAGTGACAGTAGGTCTTAATACAAGGACAGTGGTGCTAAGTATAGAGACAGTAGGCATTGATACAAAGAGAGTGGTACTAAGTATAGAGACAGTAGGTCTTGATACAAAGACAGTGGAACGAAGTACAGAGACAGTAGGTCTTAATACAAGGACAGTGGTGCTAAGTATAGAGACAGTAGGTCTTGATACAAAGACAGTGGAACGAAGTACAGAGACAGTAGGTCTTGATACAAAGACCGTGGTACGAAGTACAGAGACGATAGGTTTTGACACAAGGGCAGTGGTACTAAGTACAGATACAGCAGGTCTTGATACGAAGACAGTGGTACTAAGTATAGAGAAAGTAGGTCTTGATACAAAGACCGTGGTACTAAGTATAGAGACAGTAGGTCTTGATACAAAGATAGTGGTACTAAGTACAGAGACAGTAGGTCTTGATACAAAGACAGTGGTACTAAGTATAGAGACAGTAGGCCTTGATACAAAGACCGTGGTACGAAGTACAGAGACAGGAGGTATTGATACAAAGACTGTGGTACTAAGTATAGAGACAGTAGGTCTTGATACAAAGACAGTGGAACGAAGTACAGAGACGGTAGGTCTTGATACAAGGACAGTGTCGCCAAGTATAGAGACAGTAGGTCTTGATACAAAGACAGTGGTACTAAGTATAGAGACAACAGTTCTTGATACAAAGACAGTGGTACTAAGTATAGAGACAGTAGGTCTTGATACAAAGACAGTGGAACGAAGTACAGAGACAGTAGGTCTTGATACAAGGACAGTGTCGCTAAGTATAGAGACAGTAGATCTTGATACAAAGACAGTGGTACTAAGTAAAGAGACAACAGTTCTTGATACAAAGACAGTGGTACTACGTATAGAGACAGTAGGTCTTGATACAAAAACAGTGGTACTAAGTACAGAGACAGCAGGTCTTGATACAAAGACCGTGGTACGAAGTACAGAGACGATAGGTTTTGACACAAGGGCAGTGGTACTTAGTTTTGAGACAGCAGGTTTTGATACAAAGACAGTGGTACTAAGTACAGAGATAGCAGGTCTTGAGACAGTGGTACAAGTGGTCTTGAGACAGTGGTACAAGTGGTCTTGAGACAGTGGTACTAAGTACAGAGACAGCAGGTCTTGATACAGTGGTACAAGTGGTCTTGAGACAGTGGTGCTAAGTACAGAGACAGCAGGTCTTGAGACAGTGGTACAAGTGGTTTTGAGACAGTGGTACAAGTGGTCTTGAGACAGTGGTAAAAGTGGTCTTGAGACAGTGGTACAAGTGGTCTTGATACAGTGGTACAAGTGGTCTTGAGACAGTGGTACAAGTGGTCTTGAGACAGTGGTACAAGTGGTCTTGAGACAGTGGTACAAGTGGTCTTGAGACAGTGGTACAAGTGGTCTTTAGACAGTGGTACAAGTGGTCTTGAGACAGTGGTATAAGTGGTCTTGAGACAGAGGTAGAACGTATATAAACCCTCACGAGGGACGTATAAAACCCCATGTTCCCCGTGTGATCCTGCTACAACGAATTTATATCACCGACATGTTTTGATATGACATTGTAAAATAATTCAAATAAATTCCATTTTGATAGAAAACAGCTTCTCGATTGAGCTGAGGTTAGCTTGCGCTTATGTCACGTGACATCTGTTGGCTCGGAAATAGCTTGCGGCTTTTTGCTCTGAAGCGGGATATATTAAAGGATTTATTCTGTCTCTCAGATATGCATGTGCAGCCTGTAGTGCATGAGGCGGGGTACAAGAGGTTAAGTCTCCTGCTGAAAAATGTATTACCCTTCATGGCGGGTTCCACAGTATTTTTCAAGATCACGTGGCCCAATCAGATCACATGATTCTGACATGGTGGTATGATTAAGTACATGTATTTGTCGTCTAACATGGAAAATTACATTTTGTGCACTTTTCGGGCAGCAATAATGTATTTCTGTGTAAGATATCTCTTCAAAATTGTTCAATATATATTCCTCTGTCTTGATCCCATCAAGTTGATCATAAATTGACTTATCATCCATGATCAGCCTTTTCGATCTGCTTCATGATTTGAATAGTTCATCGTGTCGAGTGTCTGACTGTCACGATTCTTCTGGCAAGTTTGTCCATAAGGCTTATCCTTGTGATTTCATTTCATTTCCCTGTGTTAACATTATTTCCCTGTGTTTCTGCCTGTTGTATTTCCCTGTCACAACCTATTGTATATCCCTGTTTTCTAAGCCCGTTGTTTTTCCCTGTCACAACCTGAAATACGATGTGTTTACATATTTTGAAATTATATCACAAGTATACACATATGCAAAATACGCCCTGGATGTTCCTCTATGACTGTAAGGATGATGTCTCGTCTGAGCAGCCGCAGTTCACAGCGCTGAGTTGTGTGCCTAGGGCGTGCCAGGAACATATCATCATGGGTCCGACTCCCGATTTGACCTGATTATGTTTGTAGATGTGTCAGCACAAAGTCGTGCTCGTGGGTTTCACGAAAGGGGTAAGGTTCAAGATCTCCATTATTACGGGTGTTTCAACCACATTAAGCTGGAACGCAGTGATACAACAAGAATACTGTTAAAACCCCTCATTCGTTTCAAGTGAAGCCGTCCGCGGGAAGGAAAACGAACACTTAACACAATAGAACACACAACGAACACATTTCTTTTCCACATGGACAATGATACTAAATCCTGAGAAAAATAAAATATCCTTAATCCAGACCAGCGGAAGCCATTGAGTTACAGATCGAGCTCATCTGTCATTTCACACATTGCCTCGTGTGTGTCTTGGAGGTCTGCTTCTGTAACCGCCAATCATACTATTACCAAACGAAAACCAAGATTTCCTTGAATTCAACTAACGTGCTGTCATTCTTTTTTTTAAAAATGGACTGATTAAGTTAATGGAATAGGTTTTCTGCGGATTCCATCCATTAACTTCTTCGTAGTATAATTCTGTTAAGCCATCTGTGCAGTGCATTAGGAGTCTTGCTTTGTGAATGATGAGTCTGTTTCAGCTTCAAACTTACAGATTTTGTGAACCAGCCTTTAAATAGAGAAAATCACGTTCGCATTATAATGCGACAAAGGATCAGCCTTATGGACAAACTTGCCATCTAAATAATCGTGACAGTCAGACACTCGACGGGATGAACTATGCAAATCATGAAGCAGATCGAAAAGGCTAAACACATACAAATACAACAGGTTGAAACAGGGAAATACAACAGGCAGAAACACAGGGAAATACAACAGGTTGAAACACAGGGAAATACAACAGGTTGAAACACAGGGAAATACAACAGGTTGAAACACAGGGAAATACAACAGGTTGAAATACAGGGAAATACAGCATGCTGAAACACAAGGAAATACAAGAGGCGAAAACACAGGGAAATACAACAGGTTGAAATATAGGGAAATACAACATGCTGAAACACAGGGAACTACAACATGCTGAAACACAGGGAAAAACAACAGGTTGTGATGGGGTAATACAACGGGCTAAGAAAAACAGGGAAATACATCAGGCAGAAACACAGGGAAAAACAGCAGGTTGTGACGGGGTCATACAACGGGCTAAAAAAACATGGAAATACAACAGGCTGAAACACAGGAAAATACAGCACGCTGAAACACAGGGAAATACAACAGACTGAAACAGAGAAATACAACAGGGACATACAACCGTGACAGGGAAATACAACAGGCTGAAACACAGGGAAATACAACAAGCTGAAACACAGGGAAATACAACAGGTTGCGACAGGGAAATACAACACGCTGCAACACAGGGAAATACAACAGGTTGAAACACAGGGAAATACAACAGGTTGAAACACAGGGAAATACAACAGGTTGAAACACAGGGAAATATAAACAGGCAGAAACACAGGGAAATACAACAGGTTGAAACACAGGGAAATACAGCATGCTGAAACACAAGGAAATACAAGAGGCGAAAACACAGGGAAATACAACAGGTTGAAATATAGGGAAATACAACATGCTGAAACACAGGGAAATACAACATGCTGAAACACAGGGAAAAACAATAGGTTGTGATGGGGTAATACAACGGGCTCAGAAAAACAGGGAAATACATCAGGCAGAAACACAGGGAAAAACA